GGGGGGGGGGGGGGGGGGGGGTCACAGACTACTCACCAGATCACCAACCGGGGATCGCCGACTATATAGGGTTTATACTGCGTGCTCTCCCTCGTGTATCAGCGGGCTCAGTCGTATTATCGCGGCATGAAGACCCATATTAACTAAAGACAAGAGCCGTTGACGAAAATGCTTTACAAAAAATATACTAAAGGTTAATCATTTGTTACATTTCCTTCCTAACAGGTAATTTAGCATACGCTCATAACAAGTAAGAAGTAAAAAGGGAAAATAAAAGTAGAAAATAGAAGCCTACGATAGCTCAAGACAGGTCGCTATAGGCCTTTTTAAAGTAGTGCGTCTTAATGAGTCTCTTAAACTTATCAAAATCATTCTCTTACCTAATATAGTCCGGTAAACCGTTCCAAGTCTTTGGAGAAGCTAGGGTCTTGCAAAATAACGCCCACATTACTCTGCAGGTTATAGCGAGAACATCGTGTAATATGTATGAGATTACTTAAATACGCAGGCCCCAGATTGTAAATAGGCTTGAAAGAGATCACAGTGATTTTATAGCAAATTCGGAACTTCACCAGAGCACCAATGCAGGGAAGGCAGCACTGGGGTAATATGACAGTATCTGGGTGCATGGGTGATAACTGCAAGATGCACAGCTAGTACACCATAGAGGAGACCGTTGCAATAATCAATGCGTGCCATGATCACGCCTTGTATAAGCAATTTGGTGGAGGCAGACGTCAAGAACTTCCTTATTTGTCTGATATTATACTTGATTGACAAGTCTTGTTTATCTGTTCTGTCATCTCAAGGTTAACGTCAAACCACGAACCAAGGTTGCGGACGGCAGAACTTACTATTAACACTGATGCTTAACCAATCTCTAGGTGTGCAATATTCACTTTATCAAGTTGTTGCTGAGTACCAATTAGAATGATCTCGGTTTTGTCTTCATAAGCTTTAGCTGGTCTGTCGCCATCCATGCCCTGGTGTCTTCAATACATCCTTGCACACCCGGGGGGTGGGGGGGGGGGTACTGCCATATATGGGCTATATATGTATGTGCCGCTGTGAAGGGTATGGTTTTCAAGCAGTTTACTCTAGGATGGGGTATATAAATCAGAGCGTTTGGGTCTAGAATAGGGTATCATTTTTCAGGAAACTGATCAGTTGGTTGAAGATTTTATCTAGACTAGGGAAACAGCTACTCTAGGATAGGGGGGATTTGGGGAGTTTGCTCTACTATAGGGTAGCAAAATTCAGCTGAACTAGCTCTGGTATAGGTTGGGGATTCCAAGGTCCCAGCGGCACATCCCCACCCAGAAATTCCTAAAGTACCCCCCCCCCCCCGGGCTTGCACAGCATCCACGGCTTCAGTCTGGTTGTCCCCAGAATCCGGCTTAAAAGATAGATACACTATATTCTACTGCATGAGAAATTTCGGCAATTTGATTGGCTTAGAGCAGTGGTATTTCAGCTTAATTTGAAAAACCTACATGTGAAAATTTCAAACCTTTTTGGGGTAGTAGTATAAACAAATAATAGCATGATTTGTACGTGATATCTGGCATAAATACCGCTCGTGATGTTTCAAAATTGTCTCAAATTTCACTCACCTATAACGGTTCGTGATCGTGAAATTACGAGTGACAATTTCGAAATACAACCACAAATCATGCTATTACCTATGCAAATGCCGTATAAAGTTCCTATATATGAGTGCACTTCAGCCTTTTTTGTACGCGTTTAGGGAAAATGTTGCCTTGTGAGTCAAATATCAAGAAGAGATCACGCCTTTATGCTTGCTTGAATTAAGGCGTGGAGTGGGGGGTGGGGGAAGGCAGCAAAGGTTTTAACAAATGATCAAGTTGTCCACAGTCGAGGATCTTTATGAAGAGTTTTACTTCAACATACAACACCGTGAGGCCAACTCATTCACTGACCACTAACTAATCAATGAACA